TGCCCCTCCCAGACGGGCCGGGGTTCGGGGCTCCTCGGGAAAGGGGAACAAACAAAGCAGCCAGTGTGCGCGGAGCGTGTGCAGAGCAGAACCGTGCCCATTGGGGCCCCAGTGGCCGAGCATTCGGAAGGGGACTGCCTGGCCTTTCTTCCGGAAGGATCTCAGGAAGGATCAACCCTGCAGCCTGGGGTCAGACGCCGCTGAGGCCAGTGCTTAACCATTAGGGTCACCCAGTGATTCCATTCAGAAAACCAAAAGCCAAACTCACGGCCATCAGGTCGAGGCCAACTCACAGGACTCAGGGGACCAGGGAGAGCTGGCCCTGTGAGTGTCCCGAGACTGTCTCTCTCTGGTTGTAGAAAGCCCCGCCTTTTCTCCCATGGAGCAGCTGGAGGTTCTAACTGCTGACCTTGCAGTTAACAAGCCAGTGTGTAACAGGACAGCACTGGGGCTCCTGATTCAGAAAATAGCAGTGGAGTGAAAGAGTGGGTGTTGGGACCTAGGGCATCTTCCTGGGGCCACCCCTGAGCCTGGCTAACCGAGTCCCAGAGGGGCCAGAGCTGTGAGGGAGGTCCGGAGCACCAAGGGGATTGACCAAGTGTCTAACAGCCAGCCCCCATGTGGCCAGGCTGGCTGAGTTCAGGGAGGGCAGAGCTGTGGATGAGGCTCCTGCTTTCCTCTGTGCCCTCTGCTGGCTGTCACCCTCCCTGCCCTCACCAGTGCTGTTCCTCACCCTGGCACCCCGTGTGAGCAAGGGGTCTGTCCAGTGCAGCAGGCCAGGGGAGTAAGGGACCAAGGTGTGTGTGCCTGAAGATGGGCACCCTCGAAGCATCCTTTCAGGCCTCCCAGTGGTGCAGGGTTGGTTCCTGGCACAGCATGGGGAGGGGACCAAGGGGCTGACTTTGGCTGGTGGCTGGGTCAGTGGTCCAGGGTGCATTAGAGCCTGCAGTGGTGGTGGGAAGTGGGAGGCAGGTCCAGCAGGACTGCAGGCTTGGCCATGGGCACTGACTGAGGCATACGAGTGACCCTGAGCTTTTGGCCTGAGCCATGGGGTCTTAGATGATGGTGCCCCAAAGATGGGCAGCCGGGATCCTGCCCGGCGCAGGTGCTTTGGTTGAGTGAGTCTCACTGCAGAGGCTGGTGGGAGGTGGTGAGGGGACCATGGGTCGTTTGGGGAGAGGTCATCACAGAGGGCCTCCAGCCAGGGTACAAGAGGAGATGGCCCAGGAGAGCCTAGGGGAGGGGAGGGAATTGGAGACAGATCCCCTGAGCTGTTGCAGGGCCCACTTTGGGGGTTTCTTGGTAGGAGGTGACTTGTTGTGGCTGCCTGGGCAGGGAAGGGCATACTTGCAGACCGAGGCCACACAGGCCAGAGGTGGGCAGCAATCTGCCCCCAGGACGTCCTGTAGTCCATGCAGAGGGTGGCTTCTCTGGCCCGGGGACTGAGTTGCCTGAGGTCTGCCGGCCGAATGCCCCACCCTCTGACCTGGCGGTGAGCTCCAGTCCACAGGGTCTGGCGCCCAGAGCCAGGGACTGGAGATTGGGGTGGGGGGTGGAGCGGTGCATGGCCTGGGAGCATGCGCCTGGGGCAGCCTGTGTCCTGCGCATCGATCGGCCGAAGCCCCGCCTCCGGCCGGGCAAGCCCCTCCTCTCGCCAGTGGTCCCGCCTCCTGGCTGCGGCGCTGGCCGCGCTGTGCGGTGCGGGACAGGACACTGCGTGGGCTGTGCGGCTGCCCTCAGCCCTCGTGGAGCCATGGACCCCTC